GGCGGGGGCGGGGATGGTGGCACAGCGTCAGGCCAGTGCGCCGTGAAACCGGCGACTGCAGACACTGCCGGTCTCCGCCACCGCCACCGCCTTCGCCTTCGCCTTCGCCTCCGCCAACGCCGGACTTCGCCGCCGCAGAAATGAAGTGGCAGGTAAGTGCCGGGAGAGAGCGCCGACGTCGACGGAGGTAACCAGGTCTCAGCCGGATCAATGAGAATGCGAGCGGAAAACACGTGCTCGGAAACCCCGTCCTCGATTCGTTTTCCCTTTTCATGAAGTATTCGACTTGCCTAGAAACTTTAAAATACAAAGTTTAGGAACAACCTTAATAAAAATATACAATTCATACGCTAGTTTGCGTTGTGTATGCAATAATTGGATAAATGTACATAAAAATAATTGATTGGATAATTCTGAATATTTTTGGGGCTCTGCGTTACAAAATCAATTTTGTATTTGATAGTCATTAGAATTGCGAATATCAGTTATCAATGCACTCTTATGAAGAAAATAAATGGATGCAAATGTCTTACTGTAATATTATTTATAATTTCGAACAAGTTTTTCTTAGAGATATTACCTTTGCACTAAATATGCTGGCTAATTAGTCAATTCTCAAAATTCTCTCATTACAATTTAGAACATAAGAGACATATACCTTTAGTATTTCTATTCATTATATTCCTTGCTTTCGTAGTCATTAAACAAAAAAACAAACTAAATAGCAATAAAGACATCTTTGGAACCTCTAAAACTCTTCCGTCAAACAAAAATTTACGTTAATATATATTCTATATACAATTTTTAACATAATTCCATATTGACATACAATTTTTGTAAAAACAAAATCCTTATTCTCGACATTGCCATTGGTTTTCAAAATTTATCTTCTTTTGAAATGTTTAAAAAAATATAGATGTGTTTTCTAAGCTTAAGATTCATATTTTAAAATTAGTACTTTGAACCACAACAACTTAAGGCAGTTCATTTTATAGCTACAGAATGACATGACTATTATTTGGCATTGTCACAATCACATTAGGAGACATGTCCAGGGCATAATTATTTATAAATGCAATATGCATAAAAGCATAACAGAATACTTTTCATTACATAAACGTAAATCGGTAATAAAATAAAAGAAATAAGTAATTAGTACTATTTTTACCAATTATTGAAACAAGGTTAGCAATATACCATCAGAATCTTAAAAGAGACTCAAATCTTCTTTGTCATTCAGATGTGGAAAATGTGCACGATTTTTTAATTTTAAACCAACAAAGACTTATCTTAAAATCCACATCTTAATGTAAAATCATAGAATCATATTTTCGAAACTATTTTGTCACATTGTCAAATACTTTCCTGTCCTGTTGTTTAAAGAACTTTAATGTTTTGTGTGCAGGATAAAGAGATCGACAAATCACGACTTAACATCAGTTCACTTACAAATAAGCCTGCTGGTACCCTAAAAATGTAAAAGCAAAGCTGTTAATGTTCAACATATTATGAAATAGACATTACCTTATCATTATCTGTGATTGTCATGTTTAAACAACATAAAATCAATTACTGGAATTCAAGCGGTAAGAACACATCGCTTTCGATGGCCTCACTTTACTAACCGGCGCGCCCTCAGTCGCCGGCAAGTTGAAGGCGCTGCTGTCTTCGGCTCACTAGCGACCGGGAGGCGTGGAGGGCTTGGTGAAAAGGTCTTGTTGAGAGTGACTTCCAAAACTGGGAGTGTTTTCTTAATCATTCTAGATCAGACTAACAAGTCAGTTAAATATGATCTGCATGTATCAAACCTTCAGGCAACAATCCTATTCTCAGCAATGAATGCAGATTGCAAATTTTGATGAATATTTATGAGAAATAATGTTAATGAATTAGGACCATAAAATGATAATATAATGTGAGTTCTTGGCCTCTTTTTGAAACAAAATATTTCGCTATTTATAAAAATCCCATAATTTATCGTTATCAATCCCTACGTAAAATTAAAAAATAAATAAAAAACATTCACAGCAATATTAAGCTCCGTGTTTCAGTCATTTATACAATTTGTCGTGCTTCGTCAATCCATTCGATTTCAATCTTACGGATTATCAGAGTG